AATACTCCTCTCTCTCTCTCTCTCTCTCGAAGAACGATTTCATTTAGAAACATTTACGTTATGTAATAATTATTTTCGATGATTAAAATTTGATTTAAATTATAAATTATCCAGTAGAAAGGAAGGAAGATAGAATTTTTTGATTCGAGATATTTAATTCAACGATCGATTTCAATTTAATTTTACATCTGAAATTAATCATAAAAAAAAAAACTTTTGTAAATGTATTAATTTATTAATTCAATCGTCACATTCGATCAGATAATTCATCGTGCCACTACGGTGAAACAATCACTTTGCTGTCTTGCAATATCGAGTTAAAATTCGCAAATACAAACAATAGTTGGGCAACGACAAACACATATTGGTCTCATACACCGTGAAATTTCATTTTAATCTCAACTTCAGTTTCAATTTGCCAAATTGGAAACAATTAAACCCATTATTATCTCTTACAAACGTTTCATCGATAAACACCTAATTTTATCGTTGTATAATCACTAAAGAATATTAATTGCTCCTGTGCATTACTGTGCAATTTAAATAACAAAAATTCAAGATCGAATATATATTCACGTTCGATTTTTGTTCAACGATCACAGCGCCGCCACTCGATCACAACGATTCTCAACTTTCGAAGATCGTTGGAACGAACACTGGACACGCAACATTCGCCCGTTCATTACCTGGACACACTGGTTTTCGGGGTGGAAGTATCGTAAATTAAGTTACCCCCACGTAGTTGGAAAGTGCAAGGCTTCCTGTGGATGATGAGCTCGCGTCCACTAACCTAGTTGCAAGCTAAGTGATGAAGCTAGATTAGATGCAATAAGTTATACTTGGCCAGCTTTGAGCTATTCTGATCTGTGCGAATCGATGCGCTGAAATTTAGGAATATTTGATATTCCCGATAATTAAATATTTTGAAATATTTTAAGGAAGTAAAAAAAAAAAAATAAATAAGTAAATATCGATATAAGTATCGATATAAAATTGTTTTCGAACTGTATTGTACTCTATTCATATTCATACACTAGATAAAAATAAATAAATATTACAGCGAATGAAAATATAATGAAAATTATATTATTGATTATTATGAAGTGGAATTGGCAATAATTTGAAACATTGATTATATAATTAATTAGAGGATAAATTAATAATTTAATATAATATATGACGTATTTATAATTGCTGCATATATAGATAGTTGTTACTCTTTTACGTTTAAACGCAAAAAATATAAAATTCAATAAATAAATTGTAATATTATACGTTATAATAATTATGTTCCTCGAAGAAGTTAAAACCGAACGTACGTATTTTTGTTACAGAACGATCGTTGACCTCTCCAACGCCAAAAATAATAGGTGAGTTAACGAACCACTAACCTAATCATACAAATTCTAATATAATTATAATCGAACCAAAAATGGGTTCAACAAGAAAAAGAAAAAAATATTGAATATTATTTTTTTTGGTTAATTCAATTTCAAATCCATTTTTCTTTAAACGAACAATCTTAAGCTAATAGAAAAATAACGAATAATCTTCGCAATAATTGATGCAAATAAATTTCAAAAATCAATCGTAAACTGATGTGTTCCACACTATGTGTACACAGTGACGATATTTTTTTTCTTTTTTTTCTTTTTTTACACGTTTCGAAAACCAGCGTTTCGATTAGCTTTCGAGACACAGGCCACCTGTTCGCTCCCGCTTCGAACAAAAATCGCGCTCCACTATGCGGCGTATATTTTTTTTTTTTAAAAACGACCGGAAACCCGACGACCGCTGCGCCGGAAAATCGAATATCGCTGATATCGCCGCCATTGCAACTATCAGCGTTGAACGATCAAAGCGCTTAATGTTTCGCTAACCGTGAAAAATCTCGGGATTTTCTATCCGAAAATCACTTCATTCCCAAAAATATGCAATTAAGGATTTTTTTTATTTAATAGTGACGTGATAATGTGATAATCGTGACGTACACTGCTTATTGGAATCACTCAGGAATTCTCCTTTTTAAATTAATTATTATATACAATGTTGGTGGATGTAGATTGGAAAGAAATTTAAAATATTCTTTTATTACGATCAATATTCGTAAAATATGTGAATTGTAGAATGCGATTGTACCATCCATTATTAATCATTTTAACAAAGTATTGTTGACTGAATAATATTTAAATGTTCAAAGACGATGAGTGAAAACTTTGAAACAAATTTATATTGAATTTCGACTTTATATCTCTTCGTAGACAAAATTAAGGCTAAGAGAATATTACAATGGCGCCAGCCAGGGTCCAGTGTAATTTTCCTTAAAACGACTTTGTTACCGTAAAAAATTAAATACACTTTTTGAAGTTATGAAAATATATCTCGGCGAAGAGTGAAGTTACAACTTAATTTATATCCGTTAACTAAACGGATGATACTTTTAGAAGTTCAAAAGTATTGTAAAAATGTAGGCCATTAAAAATAGCAGAAGGTCAGCACATTGGGGCGAATCTTACGATATCTAAGCATCGAGAAAACCTGTAAAACAAATTTTCGTTCTCGAATCTTGGAAAAATCGAAAAGCCTGAATTTCCATCCATCGTTGTTATTCTTCAAACGCTACTCTTTGCGACATCTGCATCTCGATAAAAACTGGTAAAAACATGTACAACTTTCAGAGTAGAGAAAGAAAATTTGAAAATGATTTGAAAAAAATTTGAACTAAAAGACAAAGGTTCTATTCAATCATCGAGATTGAGAATTTTGCAACGAAAGACCCATGAGAATATCTCACGAAAACGAAGAAAAATTATTTAAAAAATTATAAATTTCCAAAAGTAACGAAACCATGGTTGAATTTAGGTTGAGAAATACAAAATAATTCCGATCTCGGGATGATCTCCAGTTTATCGAATCGCGAATTGCGAGTGGAATGCTTCAAATGCTCGAGGAGTCAAGCCTCCGTAGAAACGGTATTCAAACGGAGCGAGCATCGTCTACGCCTGAAAGGATTCCAAGATCCGGCCGGTTTCTTGCACCGTGGAATGCGTTTCCGCCTTGAAACGTAGGATAGAAGATCTTCGTTCCGTTGAAAATAGAGCATATCAAGTATACGTACACTCTACGTAGACTATACGACCCGGTACAATTCGATGTATTAAAACCGGCATGCACGGTTCAGTTGAGTATAGTTGAGGAAAGTGACACAGGCTGTTAGGGCGCGTTTACATTTTGTCGCGGAACGCGCTCGAGATCAAGCTCGAATAGGATTTGATTCTGGGACGACGAACGAAGGTGCGTTTGTTGAACAAGCACGTATTTCGAGTCGGCATAGATAAGCGCGAAAGTTGTACACTTGGAACTCGGAATATATCCGTTCCTATTGTTTTTCCACAATTATGCGTGTGATTTTAAGGCTAATATGCGAAGTCGATTGAAAGTAATTATTCATTGCACGGGGTAAAATGTGGAGTTTGAGGAGGGAGAAGTGGAAAGTTTCTCTTTCGGAAACGGGATAAGATGTTTAGACGGGCCGCGAACCGACATGACTGGAAAGTTGGAAAAATATCGGTCGAACCGACATGACTGGAAAGTTGGGAGCGTATATATAACTCGTGGCGTCGAACCGATGTGACCGGTGGAAGTCTGTTTTCATTATAGATACGTTGGTGGTAATGCACTCTCGAAACGAAAGTTGAAACAAACTTCCATCACTTTTCTATCCAATCATAATACCTCTCAATTATTGTTCCACCAATCTTAATTTCCTCCCTCCCTTACTCTTACCTATTATCATCTGCATCTGATGAATGGATACCGATTCATTATCCAACTTCTAGAAAATTATTATTATACCACAGTGACGAGACATTACGAAACTTTTCACCATCCGCCCTTCACCCCTCCCCGCATGCGTTCCTCCCGCTATCGGAGGCCGACATCTTCAAGAACGACACGATGAGGTCATGTCTTCGAAAAGAGGGACCTACTCGGGGGTATAGGCACCCGCCTCTGTCTCATCTTTTCACTCCGTGGCGGCCAAGTTTCCCCGTCTTTGTCCGCCGTCCCTTCCCTCCCACTCCGCTCCGCTCGTTCGTCCCCTTCCCTGCTCGTCTTTTCCTTCCTTCCTTCCTTCCTTCCTTTCTCAACAGCACACAGGCCGCAGCGCCCCGGGCCACGTTGCAGCTTACAGTCACTGCTGTTTGTTCTTCACCTCCCGTGAGCTTTTGTGTTTGCGCAAGCTCTGCCCGCGTGCAGACTCCAGGGCTGATCCAGCCGGGCGTGTTTCGCCGTGGCCAGACTCTACGCCGGACGTTCCCTATTTATTTAGTTTTTACTGCCCGGCTTGTGGAGCGGCCGTGCAACGCCGAGATGCTTAATTACCCGCGCATCGTTGCCCGCCTTTTAAAAATATTTCCTCGAGGAGAGATTGCGCCCTGATTTTCGCGCAATATCCGAGACATTGTGAGATTTGATCGAATTTGAAATAATAATTATGATAATGATAACAACGTGGAGGATTCGTCAAAGATTCTGAGAAACGTGCGAATTGGATAAAGACTCGAAAACTTTGGAAATTTATCGTAGTCGAAGTTTTAATTGTTCAATTTAAAAATTCTGCGTGTTAAAATATTTTTACAAAGAAGAGGTTGGATTTTTAGATTTTTGCCAAACGATAGGATTATAAAATCGATCGAATTTGAGGTAATAATAACGTCAAGGCTTTTAGAGGCTCGGGCTATCTCGCTTTTTAGAAATTTATTTCTTCGATCGAGATATTTATTTGACAATGATAATGTAAATCACAATAAAATGTGGATAAGCACGTGAAAATCGAGATCCAAATCAGATGTGAAATATTCAAATTACAATATCATAAAATTGTTCCATTACGAAATTTTGTATATCTACTATGAATAATTTTTTTATTCATCTTTTGATTCTCGTTCAATTATATGACAATTCGTAGGAGATAGATACGTTCAAAGTTCTATTTGAGGGAACATCATTTTATGTGCGTCAACCTTATATTAAAACACCGCAAGGTCACGCCGCATGACTCACGTCAGCCCTGAAAAATCCCAAAGGGGTAGTTAGGTTCTTCATTATGCAGTATCGTGAAATTTCGTGTGTGTTTAATTCATGAGTTTCGGGAAAGGGAACTTTAAGCGTGTTGTTACCCGGCCTAAAGTATCGTCTTTCCGGTCTTAACAGAAACTAGTTAGCGAAAGGTTGACGTGGAATATTCGCGGTGAATCGCTGATTGCGAGTGAAGCAGTTAACGAGTTACCTAAACAATCCATGAGAATTTACGTATATCTATTAATTTAAGATCGAGGGATCAAGTTCATTTATATTCTTCGAACAGTTTCGTTCGAACAGTTTCGGCTTTGAATAATATAATGAGCAAATATAACTTTGGACGATGTTTGGACAAAAGAAATGTCCGACACGTATGGCATATTTCAGCTTCCAGCCTGTTAAATTATTCATTTAGTTAAAAAAGATAACAACTTCGCTATACAACGGTTGATATATTCAAACATTTGTCAACAGTTTTTCGATTTTACGTTTTATTGAAATTAATAATTGCAATGGATTGTTTTTTCTGTATAAAACATAAAAGAATTACAGTAAATCGATATTTTTTCATCAATCCAATACGTAAGCTACTTTCGAAAGATCGCTTCTAGAAATCGAAACAAAATTGACCTATAAAAGTGTCGGTTGTGGCATATTTAAATAATAAATAAAAGTTATAGATAAATTAGACTTCCGCTAGAAATGAGACGGAGGCATATCGAAACAGTGGCGCCGCCATGTGAGGAAGCTAGAGCTACCTCGCTCTATCTCTGTCTCGTTTAAACTTCAACTTCTTATAACGTAATAAATAATCAATTTTTGTGCTTGCATTGATCTCTAAATTCTCAAAATATATTATAACACCACGTATAAACCAAAAACTTCATTCAAATTGACTAATCTCTAAACGTTTGGCTTGCAAATACTATTACGTCACTATCACACACACGTCCACCACACACCATAAGATCAAACTTCTACTCGCGATCACTCTCTCCAACCCATTTCGCCAACAGTAGGCAGAGGACGATAGTTGACCAAAAGCGTATAGTTTTTGCAATTAGCGATATCAGCTCGACGCGTCGTTGATCGTTGTTTATACTCGCCTTCGAAACGGCTTCGAGTTGGCGTTTCGCCAAATTTCCACCTCCTCTTCCTCCACCCCACTCCTATCTCTGTTTCCCTTTCTCTCCTCCCCTCATCCCCTTCCTCTGCCCGCGCGCCAGCCTTTTTTCCAAGCGTATATATCGACGCCCAGGGCCAGACGCGTTATCAAACGATTTATATC